TAATTTTTCTTCACTCCATGACCCAAAAAATCTAATTTGTCAAAAGGAAATGGTCAACTTTAGGAAATATCAGTTGTCGTCTGGGAGGACTTAATTTCTGATCTCTATTCAGTTGAGCACTTTTTAATTCCCTTAGTTTTCTTGACCCTTTAACCTGATCTCTTACTACCAAAACTGCTTATGAATTCCTTTCCTTGGTCATACAGTTAACTAGCACTATCATTCACAGATTTCGGGTTCTTAAATTTAACTCATCAGCTAGATGTTTACTTTTTTGCTTTCAACCAGCCTTCATTTTCTGAACAATATTATCCATACCATATTGCTGACACCAAATATCCTAAAAATGGTTATAAAAACCTGCATAATTTCCTTGAATACATAATTCACTTCTTTCAGAGCCGACACTATACGATCCAGTGTAGCTTTGATCACATTAACATTCACTGTGGTTACTGCTTCCGATATGGCTTTACTTTTTTCTTTTCCTTTTTTATGTGGTTTTTTTTGCTTGTTTCTTTTTATTATCATCATCATATGATACAGTTCCATAGGCCCTCGGATTTCCCTTCTCCTACTGTATTCTTTCTAAAGGGACCAGCCCTGTGGTGCCACAGGTTAAGCCCGGACTTTCAATGCTAACATTCCATATCAGGGTATTGACTTGAGTCCCAGCTGCTCTGCTTCTGATCCAGCTCCCTACCAAACTGCCTGAAAAGGAGGCTTAAGATGCTCTGGTGGCTGGGCTCCTGCCACCCACATGAGGGACTGGGGTGGAGTGTCTGGCACTTGGTTTCAGCCTGGCTAGCCCTGGCTGCTGAGAGGTCACTTGGGATGAAATCAGTAGCAGATCTGTTTCTGTCACTTTGCTTCTCTAGTTCAGAGCTTTAGTTGCTGCTGCTCACAGAGCCCTGGTTTCTAGTGTGAGCTGACAGGACTGAGTCCAGGGGCAGGCCACAGGGTGTACTCTCAGAGTATTCACCACATTAAGTGGCAATGAAGACATACTCAAGCTTGAGTCTTCTATTTTACAAAGAATTATTACTAGACTATGATGAATCAAATCCTTAAGCACGTCATTTCTTGCCAAACTTACACTACAGCTCAACTCAAGGAGCTTGTCAAAATCCTGGAAAACCTAAATGAAAATGGAAGATGGAAATGGCTGCTTCACTACAGGGAAAATAAAACAATAAAAGAAGTAGCAAGGTAAGAACTATTTATTCTTCCCTTTCCCCTTTAAAGTACATTAGAAATACTCTATAATGTCTGAAAAGTATAGACAAGTCTTACTTCAGGTACTGTTGCAGGTGAGGTGTGCAGACGTCAGTATCCTAAAGCTGCTTAGTTGGATCTTCATCATATAAACTGCCTTTTATATAGAGATAGGAAAAGCCCTGGGAGGAAATTCATTGTAACGTTAATACTGATTATCACATCATAATGATGTGTAAGATTGTAGTTTTAACAAGCAGAAAACATACATGAAAATGAGAATCAGCATGGACAGATGTTAAAAACAAGCATAAGAAGGGTAAGAATTCTAATGAATTTTATGAAAATCTAGTTTCTACCCAATTCTAATGATTTATTGGTCATTGGACCCCAAGGCATACGTATGGAAGATTAGAGAGATGCATTATTGCCCATTATTTCACAAAGGTCCAGAAGAAGTGATTTGACAGTACATAAATTTGTGATATCATCTGACTTGTAATGTTGATTCTGTCCCATTTTCATGTATTTTCTGCTTGTTAAAGAAAACTACAATTTTTTTTTAAGATTTATTTATTTTTATTACAAAGTCAAGATATACAGAGAGGAGAAGGAGAGACAGACAGGAAGATCTTCCATTCGATGATTCACTCCCCAAGTGAGTGCAACAGCTGGTGCTGTACTGATCGGAAACCAGGATCCAGGAACATCTTCCGGGTCTCCCACACGGGTGCAGGGTCCCAAAGCCTTGGGCCATCCTCGACTGCTTTCCCAGGCCACAAGCAGGGAGCTGAATGGGAAGTGGAGCTGCCAGGATTAGAACAGGCGCCCATATGGGATCCCTGCACGTTTAAGGTGAGGACTTTGGCCACTAGGCCATTCCGCCGGGCCCGAAAACTATAATCTTACACATTATCATGTGAGAATCAGTATTAATGTTACAATGAATTTCCTCCCAGGGCTTTTCCTATTTCTGTATAAAAGGTGTCTTATATATTTAGGAATGGAATAAATGAAAATTAATATAGTTAAATAAACTGCCACAAAGTTAAACTAAGTCCAAATTTGGTTTCATGGCCAAGGATTATAAGAAAATAATGCTTAACATCACTAACCATCAAGGAAATTCTGATCAAAACCACAGGCAGTTGGCACTTCATCACTAACAGAATAGCTGTTTTCTAAAACACTGAAAGCAAACAATCCGGTGAGAACTGGAGAAAGTGCAAGTTTTAACACACTCTTGCTAAGAATGGAGTGTAGTGTAGTGTAGCAGCTGTATAAGCGGGGGAGGGTTTAAAAAACTGCAAATAAGAATTTGCTGTATGATCTAGTGTCTACTCAAAAAGCATGAGTTCACGGTGTCGGACATACCTGTTCCACTTGTCTAAGCAGCAGTGTTCACAATAGCCAAAACAGCCACAGTGTCCATGATCTGATCAGTGAATAGAGAATATGTGAGGTATACACAATGGAGTAATTACCCAGACACAAATACATGTAATCCTGTCACCTAAGGCAAAACAGTTGGATGGGAGGATATCATGTTTCATGTTGAGTAAAAATAAGCCAGTCACAAACAGTGCATGTTCTCCCTTATATGTGGAAGTTAAAATTTAAAAACAGAAACCAAATTCTGAGTGTATTTATCAGTTTTACTGCATCTGTCTTGTCAAACCTGGCTTTAAATATTTGTTCAACAAATGATGGGAATCATATACTATCTATTCCTTTGACTATTTTGTATAGCTCTGCATTGTAATTTGGTTAATAACATTCAGTCCTGTGTTTCCAGAATGGATTCAGTTGCACATAAGAAGAACCTAATACTGAAATCATGCCAGAATGCAAACATCATTGAACTGCTTCATTACCACCCGTGTGACTCTCCATCATCAACAAAAACAGAAATTTTAAAATGTCTGTTAAGGCTGCAAATTCAGCATATCACTGCCAGATTTGCTGTCTTCCTTACAGGTAAATTCACAGCTTGTGTTTTATTTGGTGCCCTTCTGATGAGCCACTAAAGACCTAAGATAAGATGGGATATTATCATCTCATGCATGGCAGGCCAAAAACAAATTTCTAGCCAGTGTTTTGATAAATGCACTTAAGGCAAAACAGGTATTGCAGAATGTGCCATTCATAAGTTTAATCAGCTCTGAGCACTTACTAATTTTGTACTTTTGTGAATCTTGACCAGTTAAAACCCTTTCTTAAAACTGTATTTAAATGACATAACATCAGCATATTACCCCTACCTCCATATAAGGAGGTTCTCCAAAGATTTTAATCTTTTTCTCTCCTCAACCACTTGCCCAAGTTTTAGGAAGTTTCAGATAAATTTTATTTTAAATAAGTTATTCTGTTGCCAAAAATACATATATATTTATTAAAATATATGTTTGTTTTAACAGACAGGCCTCCTGTATCCAGAGAAATCTTTGAAAATAATGGAATCCTTGTTACAGATGTAAATCACTTTATTGAAAATATACAAAAAGTAGCATGTCCATTTAGGAGTAGCTATTGGTAAGATTATTTTTATGTTACCCTCCCAGATATATTACAGCTGTTGTCAGGTATTTTGTGTTACTGACAGAAATATTAAAAAGTACTTCAAATGTTCATGGAAAAAATGATTGTTTTAACCTAATGGTTAAAACTCCACTTGGGGTGGGGCGAGGCCAGCAGATGAGCTCAAGGTCTCAACTATTTAAACTTCTAAAAGTTTGAAGTATGTTTAAAAAGGGAATTTTTCTACATTAGTTATAGAATTCTATTTTATAAAACACTTAAAGATGGACTCATTTTGTGTTTATGCAGGTGATTCAGCTGAAGCTTGCCTACACATGGATGATGCCAGCTGTTTCTTTAATATTTTCAGTCTTCTCATTTGAAAAATCAATTGCTCTACAACTTTTATTTTTGCTATAGAATGTCTGACTTCATAGTTTAGCTTTGAATCACAATTTTGAGTATTATCATTTTAAATAATGCATTCCTAGCAATGAATTGGACTTTTCAAAATAAGAATTCTACTTGGAGCAGAAAAAGTGCTTTTAACAAATACTTTCAAGTTAATACCAGGCATTTATAATGCATGTTGTCCGTTTTGAAGTTTTTGCCACCATTATGAAAACTAAATCTTAAATGGTTATTTGCTGTTATACGAACACTACACAGTCAATACATCTTTTTCATAAATGGTACAAATTTGTAAGCCGTCATTTTTCACATGTTTAATGTTTGTAAATACTACACTACAAAATCAATCCTTTGAAGAAATTATTTATGGTATTAGAAACAATCTATATAATCTTTTAAGACAAGCAAAAAACATTTAAGATACTTTGTATCTATTTGGAACGGAAGTTTTTATAACTAATTTGGTTTTTTTTTTTTTAAATAAACATGACAAAAAAAATCATCCAACCAAAGTTTCTGCCTTGATCTTTTAGCAAAAACACCTTTCATAGGAACTTACCACTTAAGGCACTCACAGACATGCTCCTGCTTCTAGCATTCTTTTCTCTCCTCACAGAATTAGTATTCGCCTGTGGTAAGTAAACGGCTGCTTAACTATCAGTAATCAATACCAGTAGCAGCCGTATCGTAAAATGTGGGAACATAGTGAAGCCAGATGGGTAAGGACTGTTCTGCTCTGAGGATACTGTTGGCAACTGTATACATACATCTCTTTCAGCCTTACCTAAGAAGACAAGGGACAGGTGCATGTCATCATAGCTGTTAGAATCACAACACAAACAGACCAATACAGGGGGTTGTCGTTTCCAGAATTTGGCTTTATTTTGCAGTACAGAAATCATTTGGAGCCATTTTGAGACAGACTGAAGTAGAGGCTCTGTCAAATCAATACTGCATTGCAGTTTGGTCCACTGAAGAAGCCACACCTGGGATAGAAAAGATGCATTGACCTTACCTGCTTTATGATAGATTCCTTTCCCCTTGTTCTCATCAATTATTAAACTACCACAAACTTGCTTCCTGCAAATGACTCCTGAAGTCTGGAGTTTTACTAGAATTTTATGCCCACACAAACCAAACCTGTGGCTACAGTTTTTGGAGCTCCTGCCCTAACAGTTTAAACAGCACAAAACAAAGTTACAGGGAAAATGTGGGGGTGCTGTTCCAAATATGAAATATTCACTTTAGGATCTTAATGTGAGATGGCACACAAATTGTCCAGTTCCTGAACAGCAGCAGAGCATGTAACTGCAAAGGTTACCCTGATTAAAAGATAAAAATACCGTATCAAGTTCTGCATCAGTAGCATGTTTTTAAAAACTGATCTTTCACTGGGTTGGGGTGGTTTGGTTAGACTAAACAGAAAGTGGTAACCAGTCAATTCTGAATAGCCACTCTCAAGAAAAGAAGTTAATACATGATATTAGAAAGATAAAGGGTAGGAATATTTTTACTGGTACAGCGCTGTTCACTCCCTCCATTTTGATTACAAAAGCAGGCCTTACAATACTGATTTCATACAATATGCATTATTTGCCAAATTTTAAGTTTGTCCTAATTCAATAGCATGTACTGTTAGTCTTCTCCATAGATGTCATTTTTCTTGCGTTTCATTTCCTCAAAGTCAAACTCTGATCCTGTCATCCTCTTATAGATGTCTTTAATGTCATCACAAGTTGTCTCAAAGTGAGTTGTAGCATCATATGTACGGGAAATAAAAATCTGAAAATAAAAAGGTTTTACATTTAAGACTTCTTTAAGGGTATCTTCCAGTAAAACCTAATATCCTTTACAAACTTCACACTCACCTGGCTTTCTTTTCCCAAATCTTTCGGTACAAGGAGGTCACTGATGCTGACAAATCTGGAGGGGAGAAAGAATTAGGTTGCCAGGTTAGTTAACCCCACACCTTATCACTGATTTGCCTGACTTTCTCAATCTAAATGACAAGATTGATGAAGACAGGCCAGGGTCAGTTTAAGACTATCCACATAGTATCTAATAGCTGTCATCCTTCTTTACATGCTTCAATTACCACCCTCAAAACCAAAATCAAAACCCCAGCTAGGATTTCAGTTCATATAAATGAATAAAACACTCACTTCTGTTCAATCGGTTCCAAGAGCTCCAAAGCTGGTCTGATTTCTTTCTCAGGTTCCTTGGTCTCCACAGTTGTACTAACTATGGCAATGTACTTCCCTTGTGCTGCCACATTGTGTGCAGAGGAAATCATGCAAACATAGATATCTAGAAACAAACAATAGCAACTCACTGCCTTCAGTTCACAATCATGAGACATGACTAAGGCTTCAACATATTTTATCCAGATGTTAACTGATCTGGAGGCAAAACAGGGCCATAGTATTAAAATACCAGAATTTATTTCAACCCACTGGAGGTTAAAGATGTATGTGGGAGTGAAATGCTAAATGGAAATAGCTGTTATACAACAGGGAGATTCTAACTGAAAAACTGAATAAGCCACATATTTAGCTATTTGGGGACACTGTTAATCAGCATCAGACTTTGCATTAAATAGTTAAAGGATTTATTAAGTACTGTTTACCTCATATGACAGATCAGCATAAAATATTTATGAACTAACATAAACACTTCCCAGTACCCGAGTTGGTCTGTGTATCAACATTCTAAAAACTGCACAATTAATGTAGCAAATCATTATTGGGGGGAGGGGTCAGCACTGTGTCACATCAGGTTGAGCTGCCAGCATGTGACACTGGCAATCCTATGTTGCAGTTCAAGTTCTAGTGGCTCCACTTCTAATCCAGGTCCCTGCAAATGTGCTTGGAAGGCAGTGGGCAACAGTGCAGGTACTTAGGACCCTGAATCCCATTTGTAAGACCTATGTGGAGTTAGTTTCAGCCTGGCCAGCCACTGGCCACTGTGATCATTTTGAGGAGTAAACCAATAGATGGAAGATCACTTTCTCCCTGTTTTTCTGTTACTATGTCTTTAATAATTTTTTAAAAAATTGTTACTAGACACACTATTTTTAAGACTTTCAGAAATCCAAAGATCTGCTTATTTTAATAATAATCCTCAGTGATGTGATTTCTTATATGCCAAAATACACACACACACACACACCAGTTATTAGGACAGGTAAGCTGGATTTTAGAAAAGATTTAGGCTGCTAAAAAAAATGTAGGCAGCAGGCTAGGCATGATAGCCTCGTGACTAAATCCTTGCCTTACACATGCTAGGATCCCATATGGATGGTGGTTTATGTCCTGTTTGCTCCACTTCTCATCCAGCTCCCTGCTTGTAGCCTGGGAAAGCAGTTGAGGATGGCCCAAGGAGACGCGGAAGAAGCTCCTGGCTTCGGATCAGTTCAGCACTGGCTGTTGTGCCTACTTGGGGAGTATCTCCTCTGTACTTTTGTCTTACCAACAAAAGAATAAAATCTTAAAAGGGGGGGGGCGGTGTCAATTGGATTGATTCAATTCCTCAAACAAATCATATGAATCATAAAAATAACAATGTATACAAATAATGACATAAAAGCAAGCAGCCGTGTCAACAGCTCAAAAATAGTGCAGTCAATTCAGCAATTAAGCATAAACTTCCCAGTTATCTACTGTGAGATAAGATTTTGTAAGAGCACCAGTCCATAATTCCAAAAAGGGAAAATAAGGTCCAAGTAAGTGTAAAATTAAGCTACTACTCACTTCAACACTAAAGCTTTTGAAGGTATCACGTTTCCCTATATGTACACACTAAAGCCTATTCACTATAATACAGCACACAGGAATTTAGGAATTTCAGATGAATGCCAATGTAATTGCATTAAACAAAATTTTGCTGCTACTCAATACTTGCCAGACTTCCGGTTGACTTGGTTTTGCGGAATAATGATCTGGCAGGAGTTGGCATCATTGGTATTCTTGATTGGATGGCTAAGGATGCAGATAACTCTGATGACCTGGCCGACTTTTTCCACCCTATCTTTTACATAGCTAGGGTCACAGATGAGCTGCTTACAACGAGCAATCTATGAAGAAAACATTTTAAAAGACTTTACAATGAAGACAAATGGATAGAAATACAGTATATCATGGACTGGAAGAGCAAATAATGTTATGGTGTCAAAAACCCATCCGAGCTGCAACATCAGATAGAGAACCAGGGGACGCCACGGAGGCAGGCCAGAGCCGCTGCCATTGCCGTGACCCTCGGTAACCAGCACGAACTCGCCCGCCAGAATACAAAAAAGCAGAGCAACTCGGTTAAGGGAAAACACCAAGATGACGGGCTTTCTGCTACCACCCACAAACTATGTATTTTAATCATAATAACGTAATAGATATATTTGTGTTCTTTCAACAAAGAACAGTTACTCTGATGTTTCATCATGACTAACTTACCATACAAAAATCATACACAACATGAAAACTAACATCACTGATAATATCAAGAGTATAATTTTCTTCACAAGTTACATACCTCTCCTTCAGATTTTACACCAACCACTTTCCCATTCTCCACAATAATTTCTTCAATAGGCTTATTCAGCATGTAAGTACCACCATAAATAGCACTTAGCCTAGAAAAGGTGAAATTTCAATAAGGCATTTGCCGTCACTATCTTTTGATCTTAATGTTAAGGCCACATATCTGCTCAATTTCCTTCCAGCAGGATATTCGCTTCATTCATTAACGCACAAATCACAAAATCAACAAAATGTCCAAAGTCACAATTATGGAGAAAAAACACTGAGTGGTAACAGAAACGGCTTACATGTTGTTCTAATACTCCTGCATATAAGATGACTCTGGACTAAAAATGTTATCACAAGGCACTGAAAAGTACTAAGAGTAAGCAGAAAATGGAAGAGAATCAAAAGGAACCACCTGATTGAGATGGCTAAGTAATTCACTTGGTTTTTTCCTTGAGGAAACAAAAACAAAACAAAACAAAAAGCTTATTTATTGGAAAGACACAGTTAAAGAGAGGAAAGGAGGGATCTTTTACCCACTGGTTCACTCCTCCTAACAGCTATGGCAGCCAAGAACTTCACCCCGGTCTCCCATGTGGCTGACAGGGACTCAAATACTTAAGCCATCTTTTGCTGCATTCCCAGGTGCATTAGCAGGGAGCTGGGCTCAGAAGTAGAGCAGCCTGACTTCCCCAGGATGTGGTGTTGCAGGCAGTGGCTAAGTCAATGATGTGCTGTGCTGTAATGTTGGTGCTCATAAAAAGTCTTAAGGTCAAGTGGTATCTCACCTGAATTTGTTCTTTTTCAAAATTTGGTTATTCTAAATCCTTTACGTTTCCATTTACATGTTAAAATCAGTTCACCGATTTTTAGAGAAAATGTTTTGATTTTTATTGTGGTTAAATCTGTAAATTAATTTGGAGGAAAACAATCACCTTAAAGCAAGTCTTCCAGTCCACCAATGTGGCATGTTCTCTATAAACCTATTTAGATTTGTGTGTGTGTGTGGGGGGGGGGGGCGAAGTCTGAGTAATGTTTTTAAAGTTTCATTGTTGAGATCTAGTACTCATTCAGCTAAAATTTATTTCTAAGTATGAAAATACCTAGTTTATTTAGGTACAAAAATATTTTTATATCTGTGCATATGACTACCTGACAAAACACTTGCTGACAGAGTACCAACTGAGGGGCTGGTGCAAGTCCCAGATGCCCCACTTCTAATCCAGCTCCATGCTAATGTGCCTGACGAAGTAGTGGAAGATGGCCCATGTAGTTGGGGGTCTACACCCATGTGGGAGACTCGGAAAAGCTCCAGACCCCTGGGTTCAGCCTGGTGCAACCCTGGCTGCTGCAGCCATTCAAGGAGGACACCAGATGAGATAGAAATCTCTCTGTAACTGTCAAAGAAATAAGAATAAATCTTATTGGTACAATGACTGGAAAAATGTTCAACAGTCTCTAAATAAAATTAAACATATTTGGCATCCCAGTGAACAATCCCATTCCTGAAATTAAACTAAAAGCCACAAGAAAACTTGCATATAAAAATCACCTAATTCTAAATACTGAAAATTTCTACGGATATCAACAGAAAAATGTGGTTTATCTGTATAATTCAAATTGAATACTACTCAGTGACAGAAAAGAATGAGTTAATACCACATGCATCACCTGGATACGAATCATGAATATTCATAAGCTATGTATTAATCTTCTTATATGAACTTTAAAACAGGCAAAATTAAATCTACAGAGATAAAAATCGCAAATGCAGCTGCTGTGGATATAGGAGTAAGTATTGATGAGGTGATAAGAAAATGTTCTGGGTGAGGAAAATGTTCATATAACTTGATTGTGGTTTCAGTTATAAAAATTATATGTACTGAAATTTGTGCCTTTAATTGTATGTAAATTTTATTTCAATTAAAACGAGAGAGGTACCTCATTTCTCACAGACATTACATTATTCAAACCATACATTATGCACCTGTGTATATATGAATAATATATTATGTTATGTACCTATATTCAGCTAACAACTTACAAACCTAGGTCTCACCTTGCAAATCCTTGTGGCAGTTCTCCAAGGCCATACAATGGATAAAGGTATGGGCTTTTGCCATATCTTGCCAGAGACTCACTGTAAAGTTTAATTCTATTAATGGTTTCACAACATGGTTGATCTAAGTAGCTGGAGAAAACAAAACAGTCATTAGAAAAGAGCTTTAGTTTTCAGCCCTGGTGTTCAATTTAAAATCCTTTTCTGACATGATTTTAATCATAAGTCATTTAAAAGGTTCCACTAATAAGCAACTAGAATCTCTTCTTTCATAGTATAACATGGCTGTGTATTTGTTGTTAGAACAATCACTTGAGAAACTAAAGTAATTCAGTGAGTTTTAAGAAATTCACAAATCTCAAAATCAAAATAACTTACTCATCAGTTCTGTAAAGTGCAAGAGCATGACCTGTAAAATCGATAACATCTTGGCCCAAGTCAAATTTCTTATACACATCTCGCATTGAAGTCTTCTTGGGATCAACACCTTCAAAAGTTCTAGCATCATTTTCATCGAAGTTGGCAACATACACAAGGAATTTTCTGAAGCGACGTTTTTCGAACAGTCCCATTAAACCTAAAAAAAGATTTTTTCAAGAAACCCAAAAATAGGACACTGAGGAGCATGAGAGCCACGCTGAAACACACCATGTTGTTAACTGATGCAACATTGATACATTTCAAATACAGGAGTTTGGACACCAGTGCTTCTGTTTTCACACTTTAGACAGGAAAAATGAAATATAATTTACTCTCACTGCTGTCAAAATTCATCATACTCTAGTGGATACTTCCTGGAAATTAAAGGTACTACCAAGTTGTACAGAGATCTTTCAACTTTGAAATTAAATAAATGAATAAATATCTTTTGTCCTGCGTTAACTAAACCAAAACGGGCCAGAACACACATTACCCTTACTGATGCAGCCCTAGACGGCAACGGAGGACTACATAAAATTATGTAACAAAGTACTTGAAATATATATATATATATATATACCTGGCACATAAATGTCCAAAATTCCTATTTCACAGTAAAAGTACAGGAGAGATGATGTGGCTGCTTCTCCATCTACTCACCCACCCCCCCTTTTTGAGTTAAAGAGACAGCACCTACTCGTCTATTGGATCATTCTCCAAACATCTGCACCATCCTGGCAAGCCAATCCAGGTTTCCCACACACAGGCAGGACCCCAATTACTCAAGGCACTACTTTCTGCCTCAATGAGCAGGAAATTGGAGTCAGAAGTCACAGCGCCCGGACTTGTCACAGGCCTTCCTTCCCATATGGGACACAATGGTCTGGAGCACTAGGGTCTATACATATCTCCATCTGTTCACTTTTATGTCGCAATGCAAAGTGACAAGCAGGAGTCAGGCTTTCTCATAGCTCCGGAACTAAAATGGATAAAATCGCTACTAGAAACATTTATGATTCTAGTGCTCAGTCACAAAACAACAAAACTGAAATGGTTCAAATAATACTTTTATATAATTAACACACAAAAACATAGCTTTTTACTGTGGGTCTAGACTAGTAACAAATCTAGCTTTACTCATTTACTAACTAAATTAGAGTACTGAGTTTTTCCTTTATTCCTGCATACTTCAGTTTTCCTACTAGAGGACAAAAATACATTTCCTTGTGTTGCAGTAGAGGACTACATAAAATTAAATTACCTGGCACACAGTGTTCAAAATCTACTACTTATCGTCGGAATTATAAAATAATGTCCTTGCTCACCTTTTCCTTAACTTTACTACTTCAACAAACTTTCTTATGCCATTTTTCATTCTGCATAGAATTCTCTGCTATGAGACTTCAAAATCATTATTTACATAAAAAGGATTGTTGATAAGGTAGTGATCAGGTCTAAATTCATAAAAATATACATGCCAAGGCAGGTATATTCTGCATAATTATCACTCAATAAACTAAACCCTGAGGATACATACTTACAATAAGACATATAATTATAACTCAGAATATGATTACCTATTAGGTTAAAAAGTGGCATGAAAAGGTGTGAACTAGATTTAATTTGACTTTAAATCACTCTTGAAAAGATTTTTTTAAAACAAAAAATAACACTGTTAAAAGCTAAGTCTTCTAATATCCCAAAGGAGAGAAGTTTCTCAATATTTTGTTCACTGACATATTCCCAACTACACACAGAACTGTCTAGCACACGACATTCAACAAACATAGCTGACTAGATGATGTGAGGCTCCTAGAAAAGCGCATTATTAAAAGACAATACATGAAATGACTTACTAGATGCCAGAGCTTCTGCTTCAGTGGAAGGAACCTTGTAGATTTTTCCTCCTTTATAGACAAAGCTCCCTTCTGTCACTTTGAAATCCAGGTATCGGGTAACTTCTGTATAAAGTAGCATTTTAACGAGCTGACCTAGAAAAAGTTACATAATTCAAAATACAACTTAAATCTTACTGCTATTAAAAGTTAGAAGAAACATTAATACATTTATTAATAATAATGGTTTCCCAATTTTCCTTATATTGTTAAGTAACTCCTACAAAAAATTCTCTAACGCTATTATTTTAAATGGGGTAATGTACACTACTGCACAGCACGTTGAAACAACTTCCTGATCAAGAATATGTTTTACAGGGCCCGGCGCGGTGGCGCAGTGGTGCAGTGGTTAAGGTCCTCCCTCGCCTTGCACGCCCGGGATCCCATATGGGCGCCGGTTCTAATCCCAGCAGCTCCACTTCCCTTCCAGCTCCCTGCCTGTGGCCCGGGAAGGCAGTCGAGGACGGCCCAAACCTTTGGGACCCTGCACCCGCGTGGGAGACCCGGAAGAGGCTCCTGGCTTCAGATCGGCATAGTATCGGCCGTTGCGCTCACTTGGGGAGTGAATCATCGGACGGAAGATCTTCCTCTCTGTCTCTCCTCTCTGTATATCCGCCTTTCCAATAAAAATAATAAAAATAAATCTTTAAAAAAAAAAAAGAATATGTTTTACAAAAGCCAGGAAATACTGAGGCCAGATTAATTGGAGTATGAGGTTTAGAAATACAGTGTTATTGCAAATGGATTTGAATTACTCTCCAATTTCTGTGATATTTTAGAGATGTAGTCTGCAAAATATTTCAGAAATATATTCAGTTTCTGCATCAACTTCAGATGAACACAAGGCCATGTTTATGACTGCAAATATCTATCTAAAAGCCACAAATTTTGTATAGCAAAAATAGCAAACATGGCTCAGAAATCAAATACCATTATTTTAAAGCTACTTTGAAAGGATAAATTCATTATAGCGGTTGAACATAAACCAAAAACATTTTGAGGGTGTGTTGGCAGAGTGGGTTAAGCTGCTGGCTTGAATGCCACATTGCATATCTTAATTTGAGTGCAAGGCTGATCCAGCTTCCTAACACATTCTGAGACACAGCAGATGGTTCAAATACCAGGGCCCGTGCCATCCACCAGCAAGAGCCAGAGGTAGTTCCAGCTTGGCTCAGCACTGGGCTGGTGGGCCATCAGGTGAGTCAATGAATGGAGCATCTCCTTCTGCTGGTCTATCTGTCACTCTGTCTATCAAGTGATTCAAATAAATCAACATTAGAAAAAGCTCTTTTAAGAACAGGACAAAAAGATAATGAGGAGCCAGATGTTAAAGCATACTTTACAACTATATATGAAGGAAAACAGGATATGATATAATTTTAAATAAAAATGGAAAGCTAAGCAGTATTCAAGGGCAACTAACTAGCTATTTAAAAAAAATAAATTTCAGTCTATTTTTCTTTTTTTTTTTATTGTTATTAACATTGTATTATGTGATACAGTTTTATAGGCACTGGGGATTCCCCCCACCCCTCCCACATCCCTCCCCCGATAGTGGATTCCTCCACCTTGCTGCATAACCTCAGTTCAAGTTCAGTTGAGATTCCTTCATTGCAAGCAAATACCTAGCATAAAGTCAGTCTATTTTTCAACAGGATAAAAAGTAGAAGAATTTAACAAAACAAAACAAAAATCACTAATACTATAAAATAGGTAAGCATACATGATAAATGTATTATATAAATCATAAAACTGCAAGTATTTGTATTCTTACAACTTTGACAGAAATAAAGTTTCCAGGCAATCACTGCTAATCAAAAACAATAAAATATAAAACAATGGCATGAAAATAAAAAAACTTACGTACAAAAGGAAAACGCAGAAATTTTTAGGCAAATACCATGGTTTCTTTAGGCAAATACCTAGAATTCTTACAGAAACAATAACCTTTATCTCTAAGGAGCTCGTTCAAATCAATAAAAACACAAAAACTTCAACAGAACATCCAAAGCATAAGACGAGCCAATATGAAGAACATCTAGAAATCATTTTCTCCAATACAGATATTTTAAAAGTCCATATTCTGCATTCCATATGAGAAAAAAATCTTAAAATGAATAATTACCAAAGGTTGTGATAAAGGAACTGGGGAAAAGGCAATGCCACCAATCAAAGTAAAATGTGGCAGGGCATGGCTAACATTGCAGGATGGCACGCTAGGCCTCTGCCTGCGATGCAGGCATCCTACATAGTAGGATTTCAAGACCCAGATGCTCCATTTCTGATTCAGCTTCCTGTTTATGTTCCTGGGAAAGCAGTAGAACATAGCCCAGGTGCTTGGACTCTGCACCTGTGTGCAAGACCTGGAAGAAACTTGTAACCATTTAGGGAATGAACCAGTGGATGAAGAAATCTCTCTGCCTCTCTCTGTAATTCTGCCTTTTAAGTAAGTAAAAAGTAAATCACTTAGCAGGTTAATGCATCGCTTGAGAGTCTTTAAAGGAGTGCTGATTGAGTATCATGAGTATTAGCTACATGGTACTACATGAGTACCATGAGTATCATGAGTATTAGCTACTGTGTTTCCAATTGAATCCCAAGTACTTCAGGCCAGGTAACCATGTGGGAGAAGAGCAGGGAATTCCTGGTTCCTAGTTTTGGCTTGGCCCAAACCTGGTTGTTCTGGTATTTGGGGAGTGAATCAGGAGATAGAAGGTTTCTGTCTCTTCCTCTCTAAAGAAATAATTGGATTATTAAGAAAAGTAACATTGCCTTTTACAGTGCTAAAACTATATGATGAGGTTTATCACAATACACTCTCACTTGTAAATGGTCATAATTATAATTTGCTTTCTCCAGAAATGATAACTAATAACTAATAAGCCACACATCTGTAACAACTCCAGTCATGGATCATGTCATCTGCTATACCGTTGCCTATTAACACAATTCAGATCATCACACTGAGACCAATATTATCTGCCAAGAGATAGCTCCTTCCAAATCAAATTCAATGTACTGTCATAAATTCAAATTAAAGTTCTTTACCATTAGCCATAAGGAACTTGGGAATTAAGTCAACATTCCAGTCTCTTCCTCTCCCCATTGATGATGGTGGTGATCCAGGTATTTTAAATCTTTTGTATAACTAAAAGCAAAACAAAGACTCATAATGCACCAAAATTTAGGTTATTATAATACAAAGAAACCTCAAAAGGTTCAAGAAAATGGTAATTAAAGAGAATACACAAGACAGGTGTGGAGGGACAATGGATTAAGCTATGCATGGGACACCACCATCCCCCTGGCTCTCTGCTTCCAATTCAGTTTCCTGTTACTGCTTTCTGGTGGGCAGCAGAGGATGCACAGTTCTCTTGCCACCTATGTGGGAGACTCATATGGAAATTCTTGGCTCCCAGCTTCGGCATGGCCCATCCCTGTTTGTTTATAGAGGGAACCACAGGAATGAAAGAGCTCCCTGCCTTCCCCATGTGTGCCTGTGTGTATGTGTTTGTGTATGTACCAGTTACTCTGCCTTTCATGTAGGTAAAAATGAATAAACATTAAAACAAAAAAGATATTGTGAGGGTGGGTGCTTTGGCCTTGGGTTACGATTCCCACATCCGATATTAGAGTACCTGGGTCTGATGTTTACTTCTGGAGCCCAGCCTGGAAGCCAGCTGTAATGATTCAAGTGATTGGCATATTGTTGCCAGCCAGTAGTCTTAGATTGACTTCCTAGATCTCAGCCTTGACCTGGGCCCAGGCCAGGCTGTAATAAGACTTACGGGGAAGGAGATAGCTGTGAGTCAGCTGATACAATGCTTGTTCTTTCTTGCTTTCTCTACCTTTCAAATACACAACCTGAAAAGATGTGTTTCCTAGATGATTTGAAACTTCTTCATACAACTACTTATTGATAAAGTGGTTTTGGCATAGAACCATTAGTTAACACTGGTTTAAAACACAATACACTCATAAATACTATTAATTTCCATAAATACTCCAATTTCCATAGATATATTTATGCTAGGAAACATATTCTTAGCAGATGAATATGAAATATTTATCAAGAAGCATGTCTTTCAATGATTCAGTGATATTACTTTCAATGATTCAAAAACCAATGAAATATATATAAAGCATAGGAAGACATCAACTGCTGAATTCAGATGGATATCTTTTAAATAAAGATTTCAGATTTTTGATGCACTAGCACTATCTTAACTTTTTTGAATTTCTGCACATAGAACAAAACCATTTTATAGATATTAATTCCAAAAAGCCACTGATTCACATCACTGTTGAAATGTACGCAGCTTTCCAAAAAGGACAGTGCAGTTTATCCCCATACAAGTGAGTGTCAGCCAGCCTCACAGAGAAATAAAGAAACTTGGTAAGACATCGTTTAGAAATGCTTCATGGCCCATGTGTCCTAACACGTAGGAAGCAGGACAATGCAGCAAAATGAACTAAGCTGGGGATTTATAGTACAGATTCACAATTGATGTCTGCAATTTTAATCCCACAAAGACAATTCTGCAAATAAAAAACTGTATAAAAAGATGTATTTGTGGAAAGCAGTGGCATTATACAGGACACATCAGGCACCTCTTCCTACCCTTTCTAGCCTATTAGTTTAGAGACTAATAAGATACCAGACAGCAACAAAAATGTTCAGCCTTTAATTTCTAAAAAACCTAAACTAGAAATGATAGTATTCCAGCTATTCTAAACATTAAAACCATCTTTGTGTAGAGTGGAGTTTCTACAAAGTAACATGAAGTATAAAAGGTATATTCCCCTTTTTGCTAGTACTTACATCTTCTAGAGGTGTTATGGATGCACTTTCTCCCCCATAGTATGGGTTCTGATCCATATGAAGAACTTTCTTTCCATTCACTGACATGATACCTGACAGAATGCATTCCTACAGGAAAAGCATAAGCATTATCAAAACAAAGTTCTGCAGCATGTTTAATTTCTTTTTTTAAGCCTATTACTAGTCATCTATTAAACAACCTCTTAAAACTGCATATATTAAACACATGAAATATATTTCCTTTTCACAAATTAACACATTCAAACAAAATGACAAAAATTTATAAAAGAAGCATACAAGTAATCCAGGCTCTGGTCATAGACCTTGTAGATCCCAAGTCTGAAACTGGCTTTTAAGTTAATTTATTTATCTAGCTGTATCTATCTATCATGTTTATTTAAAAGGTTCTATCTAGAGCCTGGCACAGTAGCCTAGTGGCTAAAGTCTTCATCTTGCACATACTGAGATCCCGTATGGGTGCCAGTTCTAATCCCTGCAGCCTGCTTCCCATCCAGCTCCCTGCTTGTGGCCTGGGAAAGCAGCTGAGGACAGCCCAAAGCCTTGGGACCATGCAGCCACATGGGAGAACTGGAAGAAGCTCCTGGCTTCAGATTTGCTCAGCTGCAGCCATTGTGGCCACTTGGGGAATGAACCAGAGGATGGAGGATCTTCCTCTGTCTCGCTTCCTCTCTATATATCAGACTTTCCAATAAAAATCAATAAATCTTGAAAGAGAGAGAGAAAGGTTCTATTTATTCACTCATTTGAAAGGCAGAGTGGCAGAGAGGGAAGACATAGACATCTGCAGTTCTGTCCCCAGATGGCCTCCAGAGCAGGATCTGAGACAGGCAGAAGCCAGGAGCTGGAAACTTGGCCTTCCACACAGATGGCCAAGCACCTGGGCCATCACACGCTGGCCATTAGCATCATGCTAATGTGCAGGTACATTAGCAAGGAGCAAGACTGGAAACACAACAGCCAACACTGGAACCAGTGCTCCAGTAAGAGTTGCGGCAGCAAAAGCAGCAGCTTAATGTGTGTTGCCACAACACCAGTCCTACAACTTCTCACAACTCACAACACTAGGGCATCAGTCTTAATTTTTACTGTGTTGAGATTTGCATTGATGATGCAAAATCAATGCTGGATCAAATTAAGGCAAGGACTCTAAACTTCACATGTAGTCCTAACATTCTGACCATGGCACTCACTGGAGAATGTCTCTGACAAGACACAAAAAAACTGAACATACAACCTGACCACACATCTTTTTAGAATTCTGGGACAAAACGAAGAATACATAGATAGCTATTCTGAGTCAAAGAAATTATTTTGTAAAAATTATTTGGGAGAATTACAGAAAGAGAGAGGGAGAGAAAGTACAGAGAACCTTCAAGTGAATGACAAATTATGATTATTTAGACTTTGCCACATGGCAGATAACGTCCCAAAAAGTCAATGTAAAAATATTTGAGATTATTTGCTGCCAACAGAAGAAATTAAAAATCTTCAATGAAAATAAGAATTTATGGAGACAGCAGGGGAGGAGTCCAAGGACTTTTGAGACAGTAACAACAGCAATCTTAGCAAGCTTCACAGTAAGTATATCAGTGTGTGGATGCACTAATGTGGGCTTTGTCATCCAATAGACCGTGCAAAGATTTTCTCAATCCTGGAGCAACAAAACCAAGAATGTCTCAGAACTATCAAAACCACTCAGGTCTCTAAGATGACATTAAATCACCACCCCATCCCCAGGGGCTGAGAACTTTCACAGCAGTAAGGAGTGGACTTGCCTTCCGCAGCAGATACTGAAGAAAAAAATTGGAAATATTTGTCCCACCCTCCTCCCTGCCCTAATCAGTGGCCCACACGGGCATAAGTCCTTCTCAACTATGTAAACATTAAAATAAAATTTAAAAAGAAAGAAAAAAAAAGACATAATAATAGATAAAAGTGGTAAAGCCCAAAAAACCTGATAGAAGTCTTCAAAGGCATCACTTGAAATACCAAGTGAGAACAAAACAACTCAATAGTCAAAAACCTACAGATCCACTGACTTTCTAAACCTATGTGTAAAAAATTGCTTCAGGAGTCAGCATTGCGGCTCACAGGTCAGGGTCATGCCAGCATCCCCCAGGGTTAACACCCAGACATCTGGGAGTGAAGCAGCATATGGAAAATCTGTATCTCCCTCCCTCTCCTGTAATTTTGTCTTTCAAATAAACAATCATAAAAAATTTTCAAATAAACATTCTTTTTTAAAAAAAAAAAAGGTCTTCAAAATTCTTACAAGAATAAAATAGCATGGGAAGAAACCATTAATTTAGACAAAACTTACCAATTCCATTTAGGCATAGGGTGTATATTAATGCTTCTAAAATGCTGGTATCTCCTTAAACAACTCAAAATCAGAATACAGAGCAAGAAGCAAGAACAGGAAAGATACAAGATAACACTAAGTCTCCTTTGCTTACACTAAAAATCTGGTCATCCTGTGCTCCGGTTCAGAGTAACAGGTGGTCTGCAGTGTACAGGTTCCGATTTAACCCCCTATTAAATCCACCTGAAGATGGCCCAAGTTATCAGGCCCCTGCACCTCCGTGGGAGACCCGGGGGAGGCACCTGACTTCAGCATGGCCCAGCCCTGGCTGTCCATTTAGAGTACAAACCAGATAGGAAAAACTGTCTCTTGGGGCGGGGTAAACAAACAAACAAACAAAAAACACACACAAAAATGATAACTTTTTACCAAGACACAAACAAGAATGCTTGTCAACATATTATATTTAAAAATAAGAGTATTCCATGTATAATATGTAATATAACAAACGACCTGAGCAGGATAAAACACACACACATACTCACACACTCATTCAAAATAACAGATGACAAACCACTTTCAGAAGTCAAGTACTTTTTATATATTATGCTATCTGCCATGTGTAAGTAATTAGCTAAAATGGTTACAGTTTAACTGTTTCAGGAGTCAACCTTGTAATACAGTATTAAAGCCACTGCCTAAGTCGCCAGCATTCTATATATGTGCTGGGTCAGAGTCCTGGCTGCTCTGTTTCCCATCTAGCTTCCAGCTAACAAGCCTGGGAAAGCACTAGGAAAGCCCAAGTGTGAGTTCCTGCCTTCGCTATAAAAGACTAGGAAGCAGCTTTCAGCTCCTCACAGCTGACCCAGCTCCAGCCATCTGGGGAATAAAGGACCTCTCAGTCTCTTCTTTATTGTAATTCTGCCTTTCAAATTAAAAAAAATCTTTTTTTTTAAATTTAACTGCAATGTTGTGCATAGATATGTAAGTATAGGAATGGAGAAAAAAATAAAACTTCTCAAAAAATATCAAAGATAATTTTTCTTGAAATTGATCTAAATGTATCACTATCCTATTTAAAATCCTCTCTCACTGCCTAGAAATAATGTTCAGATTCATTAACCTAGAATATTCCTTTTTCTTGTTACACAGTTTCTTGCAAACTCTGGTTCCTATTATGCTTAATACTTTCTGCTTCAAGCAAAATACGCTCTCAATTCCCTACGTGTGCTAGTCTTAATAACAAATTAAACCTCTCCACTGAGAAAGGCACTGATTCTTACATCCAAAGATTAGCAATGTTTTAAAGCTAGCTGAATCCTTTCTTTTTGATGATTCTTTGATTCTCTGTCTGAACACCCCACGAGTGCTTCTCTTATGTGGATTAGCAAATCTGTCAACATTCACAATGATTTCTCTATGAGTTACTCACAGACAGGACCTGGTTTTACCTTTCTTACTATCGTAACTGGCCACATTGGTCAGAGGCAGTTTACATCATTTGTTTTACATCATTTGGTAAGCCTTCCCCCAGCAGGTTTTTAATTAAGGTACCATGAATGGGAAATAAAAGCAACTGACTACTATACATGTGCACCAAAACATTTACCATATAGTTCTTCAAAACACCACCACTCAAAAAAAATCAGAGAAAACCAAATATACAAATCAGACAAATGCCATACTTGGCTGCATTTTTCAGTTTGGGCAGGATGGTTTGTGAACAGTTTGTAAGCTTAAATATGCTTACAGCTTCTAACAGAAAGTATCCCTTTTTCAAATGCATGAGGCCAAAAGTTGTTTCCAATTTTTCAAGTCTGAACACTGTAGCTTATCTAATGAGTTATCTTGGGGATGGAAATTAACAAAAAACATGAAATTCATCAATTTCATTTATACCTAATGTACCCACATTTTGACTGTGATGCATCATGTAAAGTCAACTATAGATTCTTTCAATTGTGATATTTAGGTATTTTTACAAGTTTTGAAGTGGACCCCGCGGTGTAGCATAGTGGCTAAAGTTCTCCCCTTGCACATGCCAACCTAGTGGCTAAAGTTCTCCCCCTGCACACGCCAAGATCCTATATGGGCACTGGTTCTAATCCTGGCTCCCCCACTTCCTATCCAGCTCCCTGGTTGTGGTCTGGGAGAGCAGTAGAGGATGGCCCAAAGCCTTGGGACCATGCATCCATGTGGGAGACCTGGAAGAGGCTCCAGGCTCCTGGATTGGGATCAGCTCAGCTCTGGCTGTTGCAGTCACTTGGGGAGTGAACCAGTGGATGGAGGATCTTCCTCTCTGTCTCTCTTCTCTGTATATCTGACTTTCCAATAAAAATAAATAAATCTTAAAAAAAAAATTGGAGTAGGGCTGATGCCAAGACATACAAGGCCAATCCTCCACCTCCAGCACTGGCATCCCACAAGGGTGCCAGTTTGAAACCTGGATGCTGCAATTTATATCCAGCTCCCTAATAATGTACCTCAGTGGAGGATGATTCAAGTCCTTGGGCACCTATAGCCATGTTGGAAACCTGGAAGAAGCTTCAGACCAGCTCAGTTCTGGTCATTGTAGACTCTTAACTCTGCCTTTTCAATAAAAATAAAAGAATCTTTAAAAAGGGGGGGGGGGCAGTTGTGGCTTAGTGCATTAAGTTATCATCTGCAAGGTCAGATATATATATATATTATACAGGACTTGGTTGGAATTCTGGCTGTTGTACTTTTGATTCAGCTTCCTGCAAATGCAGTGGCAGATGGCCCAAGTGCTTGGAGCCTTGCAGCCACCGCTAGACTAATGTGGAGTTCCACTCTCTTAGCTCTGGCCATCTGACCCAGACCTAGACACTGTGATCTTTTGGGCAGAGAACCAGCAGACAGAAAACTGACTGATATCTCTCTTGGTAACTTTGTCCTAAAAATAAGTAAGTCTTAGAAAAGAGAGACAGAAACAAGGGACAAGCATGTGAAAGAATTCTCAAGATCACCGCCTACAGGAAAGCACAAATCCAGTGAGAAGGCCTTCAGCAGAAAGCCAAAATAACGTGCTAGCAGAGAGGAGGAAGGGAAATTCACAGGATGCTCCTGAGAACATAACTTAGCACCAAGTCCCCAGAAAGCTACAGAAAAATAACTCATGTGACCCACAATCTCATTACAGGCTTTCAATATCCAGAGGAAAGAGAATCTGTGAGCTGAGGTGACAGCTGCATTTCCATGTCTACTATACCACTAAGTACAACAGCTTAGCTATGAAATCAACCCAAGTATCCACTAAAGCATGACTAAGTAAAAAAAATATGGTATGTGCATACGTGTATGTACTGGAACACTATTCAACCATACAAAAGGGAACTGTATCATTTACAGCAACACAGAACTGGGGTACGCTAAGTTAAATCAGTCACAGAATGACAAGTTACACATTTTCTCACTTACATGTAGAAACCATACTCAGCACAGTAGTGGTGACCAGAGCCCCAGAAGGGTAGAAAGAAGGGGATATCAAGACGACGGTTAATGGGCATGAGGAGGACAGGACAAACAACCTCTCACGTTCTACAGAACAGTAAGATAATGCAGGTCAAGAAAAATCACGTATTTCAATATAAATAAACATATTTTGTTATCAGAGAGGATTTTGAATATTACCAATGTAAATAACAAATGCATAGGGTAACAGCCAACTACCACATCCTCATCATTATAAATTGCAATTACAAATTGAAATGTTACACTGTACCCCATCATAATGCACAACTATTCTGTCAATTAAAATTAAACATTTTAAAAAACAAATTAAAGGCAATCAACAAGGTACATTAAATTTGTTAAAAGGCTGCACCATATGGATTGGCACTCACTGGTCCACGCACAAAGGACCTGAATCATGGACAAATCGGAAAGGCCAGCAGAAGCAAATGAAAAACAGTGGAACCAACTGGTTCTCACAACACGCTGACAGCAACGGCATCCATTCCATTGGGCAAAATCCACCACAAACTAAGCTCTGCTCAAAATCCCAATGAGGCACTTCCAGGGCGGGGGGGTGGAGACAAAAACAAACAAACAAAAAACTGCTGTGAGGAGAACTATTAATTTAGGCATCCTACAATTCACCACGAGAAAAAAGAAATTCAACCAGAATCACACACACTCAAAATAATTAAATGGCCTAATGGCCTTCCTGGGTAGGTAATTGTATCTGGTACTATCTCATAGGCAGTCACATGTCTGTTTCTGAACTAGCTAGACACAATGAAGCACTTAGAAATGACTGTTCTCCAGTCATCATAAATCACACAGTGCAAAGAGGTAGGTCACACACACTCATACATTCTTAACAGCTTTTTTCTTTAAAAATGAGTCAAAAACTTGGAGGTTTTCTCATTTTTAGAAATTTAAAGTAGTTATTTTGTGATGTTAACTTAAAAAAATGATTGTGCCCTGAGAAATCAAAATACATTCCAACAAATTAAAGAAGAAAATTATATAAAAGCATTCATGTACTGTGGTCAGAACATACAGGGTCCAAGAAACGTATTGTGGAGTTCATTATTATGAGGAAGTAGTTCAGACACGATTTCAAATTTTTAAAAAGATAGTTAAAATACTCCTGCCTCAAGCTGAATATTTTTGTAAGATGACTAGTGTTAGGGCCAGGCACAATAGCTCAAGTGGCAAGGGCCAATAAAGCATATGGGAGCCAGTTCAAGTCCCTTCTGCTCCACTTTCCATCCAGCTCCCTGCTTGTGGCCTGGGAAAGTGGTGGAGGGTTGGCTCAATGCCTTGGGACCCTGCACCCGTGTGGGAGACTCCTGGTACCTGGCTCAGCTCTGGCCTTGTAGCCATTTCGGGAGTGAACCAGCAGATATTAGATCTTTCTCTCTGTCTCTCCTCTCTATGTATCTAACTTTCCAATAAAAATAAATAAATCTTAAAAATAGATGACTACTCTTCATAAAAGAATTTTTAAAAAGTACAAGATGCAAAACCCTACACGCAGGCATTCATTTAAAAGTCTGTGAGCAGAGAAATAGCCAGGGAAACAAATAGCCAATGGTATTGACGCCCCTTACATTCATATATTACAACTGCATTCTTCACGTGTATATTGATTTATGATAACCCCTGAGGAGAGTTCAGAGTTACAGAGAACCTTGGCCTGTGGCAATCCATCACAAGTTGGGGGGAGGGAGATGGCATCTAGAAGAGGCAATTGAGATAGAACAAGCAAAAAACTGGAAGCATTTTCGGGGGATGGAACTGGAGCAATCCTGTCTGAAGCTGAGGTTTGCACCTACACAAGAGCATGTGCTCGTATATTCGGTATGCCTGACTGGTAGGCAAGCCGAGTAAGGGAATTACAAATAAGGGTAGTGGTGGTGGTAAAGTGACGTACCAAAGCATTCGATATACAAGTTTTGAGAAATCTGTAAATCAAACTTGTTCCCTGGACTCTCAGCCATGGGGCTAAGATGGGTTTGCAACAATTAACAATGCTTCATCTTTGGAGGGGTTAGGGATTTAAAACAACACCACCACCACTCTCCTTCATTTTCTCCACAAATTTAAGTCTACCAAACGCTAGCAATTCCCAGGTCGTGATTATCTAATGATTTTGACACTCCTTCAGCCTCAGTTTGACAGCCGGGGTGACTAGCAGCAGAGGCTTAAGGCTAAACAGGAAATGCAACTGTGCAAGGCTTCGCCTTCCCCCTTCCGCACGGAGTTTCTCTGCTTCCAATCACGATGGGGCACCGACCTTTTGGGGCACCGCCAGGCTAGCATTCTCCCTTCGCCCTTCTGCAGGATCGCCCAGTCCAGACCTACTTCTTCCCGGCCACTAGCACCCACTTGACCGGCTTCTCCAACGCCTTGACCTAGGTCTCCATTTCCTGGGCCCTCCTTGAACACTTGTGAGCGACCCGCTCCAGCCAGGGGCTCTGGGATTCCTTGAGACCCCTTCATCAAACCCATTCCCGAAAAACCCATTCCTGACTGCGAAAACGCCTCCCAGCAGACGCAGCCTGCAGTCCAGCGGGCCCAGGCCGCCGGCTGCGCCCACCCTCGCGCTGTAGGCCGCGGCAGGGACTGCGCGCCCAGGAGGGACGGAGCCCGGCTCCCCGAGGCTCGCGGGCCGCCCCGCACACCCTCCCGGCCAGCAGCTCACCGTCAGGCCGGTGCCCAGCACGATCACGTCGTATTCCTCATTCATGGCGGGGGAGGGCGAGGAAGACGACCCAAGAGAGAAAGCGCAGGGACTCCGCGGCCACTCGCAGGAGGCGGGGAGGAGCGCAGGCCGCCCTGAGGTCGAGGAAAAACGGAAGGCAGGAGAGGGGAAAACGGAGCAGATGGAGAAGGAAAGCCGGCCGCCACCCCAAACCGGAGAAGAGCCGCGAAGGCAGATGGGGGAGGCGGGGCGGGGCGGAAGCGGAGGGCGGTGACTTCGCCTCGGCGGATGGGGCGTGGCCCACCGCGAGGGCCGCCAATCACGCCCTCTCCGCCTGCTCATTGGCTGCGTTAACCGTCAGTCGCCTAACTCCCTTCCTTTCTCCCACCCCACTCTCGCGAGAGAAGCACGGGGCGTCGCCATCTTAGGCTTCCGGCTGCCCTCCCGTTCTTTGCCACGGATGTTGGGGCGAGGTGCGGCTCCAGTACTGGAGTTGCTGGAGAGGATCCGGGCGGAGGTTCTCTCGCTGCGCCACGTTCTTGATCCCCGCCCCCGGGGAGGGAGGGAACTTTGTCTGAGGGCCACTGCCCCGGACCGCTGCCCTTGGACTTTGAACGAGTGTTCACGGTGTGCAGGCGCCACGTGGGTGAAGGACTGGCGGACTCCCAGGGCCTCCTTCGGACTCTGATGCCAGTGCAACATCAGCACCGCTGCCACTGACCGCCTAGCTAGGCTCTCGCCGCTCCTACACCAGGAAGTGATCAGAAATCACCTGTGTCGCCTTCCTCTGTTTGGCTGTGTCACACAAAGGTGTCTTGCCCTTCTGGAGCGTTATCATTTGGCCCCAATGAGCTGGGTGTGCTTGCAACTATGAATACAGGCTGGCACTCAAACCGCTGATCCCCAACAATCAGGCTGAATGAAACCTGCCAGATTACAGCCCAAATACAGCCAACACTGAATGGCTCCAGTCTGGTCATTTTGGGGATTTCCTGCTTATCTGGCTATTGATACAACTTACCACCATCTGTGGCCCAAAGTACTGCTGCCATTCGTGTTCCCGTCAACATTTAACTTTTTTTTTTTCTTTTTAGACAGATGGGCTTTTGAGGGCTTGAAGCCACCATACCAGAAACCTGCCAGACCCTTTGACCTCAGTGATCTCTTGTGGCAACTGGAAGTACTGGACAAATTTCCTGTTAGTTGACAAGCTTAGATGTGATATACTTATTTAGGGTAGTAGTTGGCTCATCTGCAAGACTAGCAAACAATGCAAAACAAGTCTTGGAATATTTCAGTAGTTTATGATAAGCAGTTGGAAAAACAGAACTTAATGATGCTGCCAATTTAATTGGGTGTGTAGCTGGTCTTGTTAACTATTAATAATGAATCCAAGATTGGACAACTTGTCCATTGTACAGCTGAAAAAAGAGTTAATTGATTAATGTGGTAGACCAAAATCAGTTCCTTGGAGCTCCATATAGGTGTCCCACATGGGCAGTGGTGACCCAAGTAGCTGGCCATCTTTTGCTGCTTGCAAAAGGTGTTAGAAGAATGCTGGATCAGAAGCTGAGTAGTGAGATACGCCACTATGTGGTTCCCACATCACATCTACAGCCTAGTGCATAACAATACCAGCCCTTCTGCCGTTTGGAGTAAGCTCCTTGAACATCCTCCAACATCTCCACTACTGCAGATTGCTTGATGTGAAGGTTTCCTGCATCCTGTAATATATTTTCTGAAACAGTACAAGGAAATTTAACATTTCCTATACTTACTACTGCCGCTCATCACAGGTGACCAACATGTGCCCAAATTATAAGAAAAAAAAGATGGGGAAGACAAACTATGCTGGACAATCTGACCCCATTCGAGAAGTTCTTCATTTCCACCCTTAATGGAACATTAATGTGTACTTAGAAGACTTCACATGTTTTCTGGTTGAAATGCTTCACAGTATAACAAAGTTGATTCTATGCAGATGGCTAAGAAATTTTGAAAATGTCTTTTCCTTTTGTAGCATCCTAGAGAAATTAGAGCTTGAGATCCATTTCACAAGGCAAATTAAAAATGTAGTTATGCACACCTGCAATGTGCAGTGTACAAAACACAGACCTAGAAAGATCATTTGCAACTTGGCAATCATTTTAGCAGGTTTTGAGAGTAAAGTGATGTCAACCAAGTACTCTTTAGAATACATCTTTAAGTCTGGCAGCATGCTGTGGTCCTAAACCACCATCAAGGACTCTGACCAATAAGACTTAGATACTGGGTTCGGCTTGATAGAGTACTAGCTAAAGTCCTTGCCTTGACCATGCCTGGATCCCATATGGGCACCAGTTCTAATCTCAGCAGCCCACTTCTCATCTAGCTCCCTGCCTGTGGCCTAGGAAAGCAGTCGAGGATGGCCCAAAGCCTTGGGGCCCTGCACTCACGTGAGAGACCCAGAAGAGCTCCCAACTCCTGGCTTCAGATAGGCGCAGCACCTGCCACTGTGCTCACTTGGGGAGTGAATCATTGGAGTGAAGATCTTCCTCTCTGTCTCTCCACCTCTCTTTATATATATATATATATATATATATATATATGACTTTGCAATAAAAAATAAGTAAATCTTTTAAAAAAACAACATGCTACTGAATGACTAATATGTTTCTGAAGAAATGAAAAAAGAGCAAGAACCTTGTTGAAAATGATGCTACTGTATGATTTGAGTCAGTGAAGAGTTTAATCAGAAGAAAGTATTTTGAAGAGATAAACAGGAGGAACTAGGTCAGGGGGAGAGGGAATTGGGGCTGGAATAAGGGAATTCCCATGGCCCATGGAACTGTATCATAAAATTATAATAATAAAAAAAAGTAAAATTTAAAAAGACTTGGATACTGTAGACTTTGAATTGGTTATTTATAATTGTTTCATGGAGCCTGCTACTTAATTTTCTTAGCATTGTGTGCTATACTTAGTCAAAAGTTTTTTTTTTTTTAAGATTTATTTATTTATTGGAAAGTCAGATATACAGAGAGGAAGAGAGACAGAGAGGAAGATCCTCCGTCCGATGATTCACTCCCCAAGTGAGCGCAACGGCCGATGCTATGCCGATCCAAAGCCAGGATCCAGGAACTTTTTCTGGGCATCCCACAGGGTGCAGGGTCCCAAAGCTTTGGGCTGTCCTCTACTGCTTTCCCAGGCCACAAGCAGGAAGCTGGATGGGAAGCGGGCCACTGGGATTAGAACCAGCGCCCATATGGGATCTCGGGGCGTTCAAGGTGATGACTTTAGCCACTAGGTCACACAGCTCGGCCCTGTAGCTTTTCATTTAAGGGGATGTACAGTAACTGTAAATGGAGACTATCATATCCAGATGTGAGGATACAATGCAGTATGCATATCTGCTTTCAGACAAAGATGGACTGCCAATGAAACTGTTCACTATATCTTAAAAATAGGATGCTGGACTCTCTGCCGTTGTCCATGCCCACATTGATGGCCATTTGACTGTGTATGAAGAGATGACCCAAAGAAGACAGTTATTAAAGATAAATTTGTTGCAAACCTGCCCCCCATATGATAGAATTTCATGCAAAGTATCTTCTATAAATAGTGGGCTGCAAGCTGGCTTGATGTGCAAACAGGCTGTAGCCTGACCTAAGGATATACCCTGGTTACCTAAGCATCTGAGCTTCAGCCAATCCCAGGCTGAAGTGCACTATATTACGTGCAACTAAAGCAAACACTGATTTGTATATCATTTCCTGTTTTATGGTAAAAATATTGTGTTGTAGGTGGGGACGTTCTGAACTACCTTCAATCAGGAGTGCTCCCAGTTCTAGAGCCTGTGTGTTTTCTGCTTAAACTTTATTCAATTTAATTCATCTTGTTTTTCTTTCTTGTCCTGTGTGAATGTGGGAAAATTTGGAAGGAGTAAATGAAATGATTCTTTAAAAAGGAACCTTTACTATGAAACAGGAAGACCAGCTTTGACTTGGAACCAGTTATTTACCCAAGGTATAACAGACCCACCCCAAAACTGGTTAACTGACCAGTATATGAAAAGATTTGTCCATGAATGTAGAGAAAATAAACCCTGTTTTGTTTTCTGCCCACATGTTTTTCTCTAGAACTGTCATTGCAATCTCCAGCTTTGGTGAATTCAGGGTAAGCAGAGGTTATATTCTCAACCCAAAGATGTGGGTTACGAGAAGTATTAGGCAAATGATTTTCTTAAAATTATGTTCAAAGCTGAGTGGATAAGAAATATTCAAAGAATCTTGATTGGTGGTTTAGTAGGCTACACTTCCACCTTTGGCACAAACATCCCAGGTTTGTGTCCTGGCTGCTCCACTTCCAGTCCAGCTCTCTGGTTATGGCCTGGGAAAGCAGTAGAGGATGACTCAATAAAAATAAATACATCTTTTTAAAAAGTTCACATTAAAAAATTGCATTTTTGTGAGGATCCTGGTGATGTAACTTAGTGCCTAAAGTCTTCACCTTGAACACCCTAGGATCTCACAGGGGCACCGGTTCTAATCCCAGCAGCCCCACATCCCATCCAGCTCCCTGCCTGTGGCGTGGGAAAGCACCCAAGGATGGCCAAAAGCCTAGGGACGCTGCACCTATGTAGAAGACCCGGAAGAAGCTCCAGGCTTCTGGCTTCAGAACCTCTCAGCTCGACCTTTGCAGCCGCTTGGGGAATGAATCATCGGACAGAAGATCTTTCTCTCTATCTCTCCTCCCCTCTCTATATATGTGTGACTTTCCAATAAAAATAAGCAAATCTTTTAAAAATGTATTTATTTGAGAGACAGAGTTCCCTTCCATTAGTTCATTCTATAAGTATTGCCAAAACTGGGATCAGAGACTGCTTCTGAATATTGAAGACACTTAAGCATAAAAGCTAATTTTTTATCATGCTTTATTTTAAATTTTTTAAAGATTTTATTTTTATTGCAAAGTCAGATATACAGAGGGAGGGAGAGACCGAGAGGAAGGTCTCCCGCCTGATGTTCCACTTCTCAAGTGATCACAACGGCCAGTGCTGCGCCAATCTGAAACCAGGAGCCAGGAACCTCCTCCAGGTCTCCCATGTGGGTGCAGGGTCCCAAGGCTTTGGGCCATCCTCGATTGCTTTTCTAGGCCACAAGCAGGGAGCTGGATGGGAAGCGGAGCTGCTGGTATTAGAACCAGTGCCCATATGGGATCCCGGGGCGTTCAAGGCGAGGACTTTAGTCACTAGACCACCGTGTTGGG